CATAACACATACTTTGAGCACTGTGATGTTTTAATATCACACAAGATTGTGCATAATGGTGTATTGACCAAAACCATCATAGCTTTGTTACTTTTCAACATCATTAAATACTGGTTAATGTTGGCAGAAGGAACAAAAAAACCTGTTTATTAAAGTCACATTTCTAAATTTACTTTTCATTGTTTTGGGCTTGGAAAGAAAAGGTTGCATTAGTTACGATGATGTTAGTTTTGCTATTGACTATTGTTCATTCGTCATCCTTATTACCTTTAGCTCAATTCAGTTTATTTTAATACATTGTGATTGTGATTTTAATTTTGAGACAAACACTGTCAAGTTTTTTTCTCATTTAACCACCAAACTTAAAAAGATATACGCTACATGATTATTAAGACCTGGGGTCTTTCTGTGCGGAGTTTGCATGTTCTCCTTGTGCTTGCGTGGGTTTTCTCCAGGTACTCCGGTTTCCCCCACCCCCCAAAACATGTACAATAGGTTGCCTTCAGGCCCAGGCTGCCCTTGAAAAAGAGATCTAGTTCTCAATGGGACTTGCCTGGTAAAATAACTGTAAATAATGATCTAAATAAAAAAGAGGGTGTAAACTTGTATTGAATCCTTCATCTGCTTAGTTTTACTCCTATGTTACTTGAACATAATGTGAAACAGAAAATCAGGAGCTGACACCTCCCCAACCCGCTGATGATGCCTATAGGGAAAAAGCATTTTCAAAAACCAAATCAGGCCGAGTTGATGATACTGGTCATGGTGTAAGCTGATTAAAGCAAAGGCAGATGGAAGATGCTCCCCCTCCTGGGTGCTGAGAAWACATTAATTATTGTCTGGTCTGATATTCAGAGAGAGGTCAAATTGGCCTGTTGAGGACAATCAGGTTGCTTTGTATTGTTTTCAAGATGTCTCATTCATTTTGAATGTAAGGGCAATATCCTCCTCATAATTTACATTCTGTTAAATTTCAATCATGGACTTCTAAGTGGTTCTTATTAAAAAGGTAATTTCTTTCTCATCCAGGCAGTTTGAAGTCAAAATCACATTTGTCTGGTAGGCCTGCTTGTTCATCATGGTAATCTGAAGCTTGTGTTGTGTCAGGACTGAGTCCAGYAGAGATGAGTGTACTTTGGACCTCCCAGACGTGGCTTAATCAACAACAGAGAAAGTTACTGATTGATTGATTTTTGATTAATAATAGAAATGAATTGAAGGATATTTGGGGTTGTCTAGCTTTATTCACAATTTGTTTATAGTTTTGCTAAAACTGCAGTTCTTTTTATCTTTTACAAGTTTTTGTCCTTTGATTTTTTTTCCCCTCTTCCCAAAATGGCCAACCTGTTCCAACACAGTGGGATGAGAATTAAAGCAACATCTACTTTTCTAATGAGACAGTTGAAAAATCAGATTACCTGAGTGGTGAAAAAAATGTTTCAGCATTCAGAAACTCTGTTTTCATCTGAACAACAGCGTAAAGGCTTTGAAAAGTGTTTTTTTATTCTTTTGAACAAAGAAGAAATCTACAGAGTGAGACAGAAGCAGCAGCTTTGTCCTGAAGCTGAATCTTCTTCTGTTCACAGAGAAAAAACACTCAGAGACTCTGACAGGAAAAGAAGAATGTTGAGTTAACACTCACCCTGATGCAGCTTTCAGTCCTCCGTCTTCTCTGTTCACTCAGAACGAACTCTGAACTCAACCTTTCCTGTTCCACGTGAAGAAGCAGCTTTATGATACTTCGTTTACTGGATATCAGTTTATATGTGGGTGTGTTTCTGCTGCTCAAAGGCAACTTGTCCTCACCTCACTAACATCGACTCTACCAACCAAATCTGTCACACACAAGGCTTTCATTTTCTGACTTATCAAAACAACAACACAAACACATACACTCACCAGCCACTTTATTAGGTCCACCTGTCCAACTGCTCATTAATCAAATGTGGAATCAGCATGGCATGGCAGCAACTCAATGCATTTAGGCATGTAGACATGGTCAAGACTATCTGCTGCAGTTCAAACTGAGCATCAGAATGGAGAAGAAAGGTGATTTAAGTGACTTTGAACGTGGCATGATTGTTGGTGCCAGACAGGCTGGTCTGAGTATTTCAGAAACTGCTGATCTACTGGGATTTTCACCCACAACCATCTCTAGGGTTTACAGAGAATGGTCCGAAAAAGAGAAAATATCCAGTGAGACATTTCTGTGGCACAAATGCTTTGATGCCAGAGGTCAGAGGAGAATGCTCAGACTGATTGGAGCTGATAGAACGCCAACAGTAACTCAAATTACCAGTCGTTACAACCAAGGTCTGCAGAAGAGCATCTCTGAACACACGTCGAACCTTGAGACAGATCGGCTACAGGAGCAGAAGACCACACCTGGTGCCACTCCTTTCAGCTAAGAACAGCAAAACTGAGGCTACAATTCACACAGGCTCAACAAAATTGGACAATAGAAGATTGGAAAAACACTGCCTGTGTTAGGTTTACTCAAAAGGTAAAAAATGAGCAGTCAGAGAATGAAACACACAGGAGTCAAAAAATATAAAAAGAAAGTGATTTATTTTTGAGTGCAGGATCTCTGGTCATCTGGAGTGATCTGAAATGGAGGCGAGTAAAATGTTACTGATCTTGATTCCAAGCAGAAATGGGTAGAACTAAAAATGATAATCTTTTCTCTTTCTTACAGAAGTGAGGAGGTCCAGGGCCATGAAGATGGATGGGTCCAGGTGGTGTACAAAACCAGAGGTGACTATTTACATGAGTGACTCCAGGTGAGTATTTCACAGGTGAGTAGACTTTTACCAGTAGGACAGTCTGGCAGGCAGACAGGCAAAACAAATCCAGATCTGGGTTTTTCTCTATAAAATGTTTTCACTTAGCCTGGTTTAAACCAGACCCTGTCCTTCACTTTGCTTCGTACAAGGGTCTGGACTTGATGCATAGAGAATCGATTCTTGCAGGAGGTGTGGCCTCTGCTGAAGCATGTATGTGTTGTCGTGTGAAGGAGGCTAAGCTAAGAAGCTAACCGGAAATCGCGTGTGCTGTAAACAACCCTACTGAGAGGAGAAATATACCGAGCCAAACGAGACGGTTGTAAATGAGAGCTGCTGCTTTGTCAGATAAATTTATTTTAATTTAGAAGCCTTACTGTATCAACACGGACTGGATTCATTCACTTCCTCCACTGCCGCATGCTAAAATAACTAGCAGACACTGCACAGAACATCAACATCATTCAAAACTCCTCCTTCTGTTTGCTGATTGGCCCAGATAAAATAAACTACAAGCAGACAATGCGCAGAAAATTGACTTTCTCTTCTCTGATTGGCCCGGCTAAAAATCTGCCAGTGAAATCCATCTCAGTGGGAGAAGTCCCAGACGGAGCAGTGAAGGGAAACTAGAATTGAGCGGAGCTGCGTAGGAAGGCAAGGACCAGGCTAGTTTTCACTGGGAACATAGAAAATATTTCTGATTAGCTGAATAATGTTTTCAGCACAAAGACAGAGTCAGGAGCCATACCAAAGCTAAGTTCCAGCAATGGTCTTATTCTTCTTCTTCTTGGTTTTTTTTATGGTGGTTGGCAAACAACATTTGGTGCATTACCTCCACCACTGGTAAGGAGTGTGAACCAGGACTAGCAAGCAAAAATAAATAAANTAAATACTTGTTTCAATAAAAATAAATGAAAATAAAGAGTCTTTCTTGACCAGACATATTTAACTWTTAACACTGTTATGGAAAAACTGAACATTGAACCTGTTGTTCACAATATTATAGCAGCAAGAAGTGATTTAAAAAACAAAACATGGTGTATAACACCACATATAGACTGACATGTCTACTTTTGTTACTTTGGCCTAATCTTATGTTGCAATTGCATGTTGTGAGTGAAACAGCGGTGTGGGGCAAGTAAACCAGTGGTTGTACCTCATTAACAGAAGCTTCTCAAACCTCTTGTCAGAAAGTCTATTTCTTCTAGGCGTGAGCATCTAACCTCCTAGACTGAAAAGACGCTCCACAGGAGCACTTGATGGGGCTGGAGTGTTATACTTCAAGAAAATGTTTTTTATGTTTGGAAATTGATGCAGAATCTGAAGGTCATGGGCTGACCTCAGGTAATCCATGACTTCCTTTTCTGCAGAGTAGGTCTCCTCTGGCTCTGGCTCAGCCTAAAAAGTGAAAAAGTCCATCTCACCTTGACTGGAAGGTGTGGTGGACACACTGGCAGGGCTCTYTGCTGAAGGAGCAGTTGTGCGGCACTCTGCTGTTAGAAGCTCTTTTACTCGTTCCCTTCTATGGACATCTCTCAGCCATCTGAGTTTGAATTTTGGACAACTGACAGCTGCAAGAAAAAAAGTCCAGTTTTTGTTGTTTGGGTGGTGTGGGACCTCCTGCAGTAGTCGCCGCTCTCTGCTTGCTCTGAGAGTGTGACTATGTGTGCTGTGACTCCAAATGTTTCTTTAACTTTGACGTCGTGTTTTTYAAGCTAAATAACACTTTTTCGCCGACAGAGTATACAACGAACCTTAACGTTGTTACCGTTGGCTGACACAAACTCAAAATAGTGCCTGTATTTCCAGCTAAAAAACGTGCTCCTCCATTTTACATTTGTGTCGCTGCTGCGTGGTCCAATTCACGCATGGTGTACGTGACATGCATAAATGCCAAAAACCGAAAACTTTGTCGCGCAGAGCTGACGTCACTCCCCAAGACGCAAGAAAGAAGTATTTAGAAGTGGGTATTATAAAAATTGTAACACCCAGTGACTTAGACAAGTAACGTTAATCTGGTTACTGGATTGGAAATAATAACTCGTTAAGATTACTCANCCCCCACTACCTGGCAACGGGTTGCGTTTTGACGTCAAATTCAAACAAACCGCCAAATACACTGAGCACCAACTTGTTGATAAACTAGAATAGTGGTTGATTAAACCAGCAAAATGGACAAATTTGTGATAAAAAGACCAAAAATGTCCACCGACCCGACATCTTCTTCTACGACTGAGGACAGTAGCAGTGCAGGTGTCCAGCTAAAGGAAGGTCGGACTTTTCAAGCTAGATTGGAAAGGCAAGTACGCATGGATAAACTACGATGCTGCAAAAAACAAAGTGTTTTGTGAGGTTTGCACTGCAGTAAAAAAAATGGGCGCTCCTCTCCCGTCTACCACACATGACCAAGAGCCTTTGAAAGCTTTTATACGGGACGGTTTTTCCAGCTGGGCCAAAGCACTGGAGAGATTTCCAACTCACAAAAAATCAAATCTGCATAGAGCTGCAGTTAGCACTGTTGCTGATACTAATGCGGGTGTAAATGTTGCTGCATCAATTTCTGCCGGTAAACTTAAACAGATGTCAGATGCAAGAACAGCTTTGTTGGCTATTCTATCTTCACTCCAATGCCTTTCATGTCAGGGATTGGCCATCAGAGGAAGCACAGATGAGGAGTCCAATTTGACCCAGTTACTGCATTTATGTGCCCAGAATGTTCCAGAGTTACAGTCATGGCTCGCACGTAAGGAGAGCAAGTGGCTCTCACACGACATTTCAAATGACATGACAGAAATTATGGCTCATGATGTACTGAGACTAATAGAAGAAATCAAGTCTGCGGAGTATTTTTCTATGATAATGGACGAAACCGCTGACATTTCAGTCAGAGAGCAGGTGTCAATTTGTTTTTGTGTCGTGTCTGAACATCTGGATCCAGAGGAACATTTTGTTGGATTTTATGAGACATCAACAACTACAGAAAATGCGTTGTTTCAGCTGCTAAATGATGTTTTGGTGAGATTCTCACTACCACTTCAGAAATGCAGAGGACAATGCTATGACGGTGCATCAAATATGTCTGGCATTAAAGCTGGTTTGCAAGCGCACGTGCTGGAATAGGAACCGCGCGCACAGTTGTGCACTGCACCGCACATCTYGTGAATTTGGTTGTGCATGATGTGGCACAAAACATTCATGCATGTCGCAACTTWATGACTCTCATTCCTGAGTTAATAACTCTGATCAGAAACTCACCAAAACGGCTCGCCTGGTTCCAAGAGTTTCAAGCTAAAGACGCACCAAATTTAAAGCCTCTGTGTCCGACACGCTGGACTGTGAATGCGGCCTCTTTGCAATCCATTTCCTCCAACTACAGTGCATTAATGGAGTTTCTAGAGGACCTGAGTTCAAACAAAAAAGGTGATGCAGGTCGGTAAAGCCAGTGGTCTGCTTGTTCACCTGCAGAAATTAGGGACTTTTTTTTCTTCGAAGCTCATGCTTAATTTTTTCTTTCGCATGGAAACAGTGTTGCCCTCCAAAAGCGTCAGCTACACATACAGAGAGCAAGGGAAATGATGGACACACTCCGAGGTGACATGAAAGCCCTTTGGGAAAGTTTTGCTGTTTTTTTTTTTGGGAAAACACCACTGCTGCAGCTGATGACTTGGGTTTGGAGAGCCCGGTTTTGCCCAGACCAAGAAAAATTCCCAGCCGACTGGAAGACACAGGTGCGCCACCGCACAGCTTTCAGACACCAGAGGAACTGTACCGACAACAGTATTTTCAGGTTATGGACACAGCATCAGCATCCCTGGATTACAGATTTAGTCCATTTGTATTCAAATACATGCAAGATGTTGAAGATTTTTTTCACTGGGAAAAGCGACTG